TGAAATCACCCAGTAAATGAAGATTTTACAGAACCAAGGTGTTACATCTTGACAAGTATGGCTTTGACAGCTAGGCATTTCCTAATGGGCACTGAGTGTCCTATACCCATCAACTTACCTTTTTTTCCTGGAGGCCTGAATTAAAACTACAGATTTGGAAGAAAACCTCATTGATTAACTTGAGAGACTAGGTCAGCTAATTAAAAAGCCAGAACAGGCAGGTGGCAGAAGAGAAGTGATATAAAAAATTCAGCTCCTGAAACTGCTTCTTGTACCTGACGGGAATAAGAAAGAGGAGAAACAGCCACGGGTTCAGAGGAGGGCATCTGGGAAGCGTTCGGCCTTTTTTTGTTTGGTTTTCATCCCAAGCCCATCTCTAGAGAATACAGGCACTTCTCTCTGCATTCAAAGAAGCCAGGACTTTATCTTCAGGCAGTTCACACCAATCCATGTATATATAAATAAGGGATCAGGGATATTAGACCGTGGCAACAAGAGAGACCTGCCCTCGCTTTTTGAATCGTTAGCATGCACTGACACCATGTGAATTCTCTGTTGTGCATGCGATCAGTTAAACACCACTTGACCAGTGTTGTAGTTAATGGCTGGTATTATGGAAACCCCCCGTCTAGGATCTCACTGTTCTGGACATTGTACAGACAGGCAACAAGGAGAAATGTCTTGTTCCATGGAAGGGAAAAAGGAAGTTTTACTCCCTGGTAGTCGGGATCTATCGCTCTGGCCTCCAGACACACTTGAGGAGCATTTCAGTCCTGCTCAGGTGAATGAAGGATGAGTTTTTCCAGATACTACCCCCCCCCCACGTGCACACAACTTCAAACTCCAGCAAACAAGTTTGCTGAATTGACCATATCATCCTGATTGTGACAGTAAGTGTGCAGCTACAATTATCATGTCATGGCGGGGTCCGTCAGGAGGGCCGTGATCTCCTCGAAGTCCCTCGCTCTGTGTCAAGGCCGGCCCAAGGCACCCTCTAATTCTCGCCCGCCACGTCTTGTTGGAGTATATATATATAGTTGGGAGGCTGCCTATGACTCCCTGGGCACGGCTACTCGGGACCTCTGTCCCCGCGGTTCTCGGACCCCCTGGGGGTCTCCCGGTATAATGGGTGCTCCTCAGGCACCCT